ATCTGTAACTGGTACCACGTAGAAGAAGATGCAGTACTATATTGGCTAAAACAAGTACTATTTTAAGAATCGTGATTTCTCTAATCCTACATGTCTACCATGACACGTGGAGCGCTCACGCGTGTTTTGGATAAAAAATAGTGGAAGTTAAAACATATAGGTAGACTTTGAAGTAGGCATGCATGATGATTCTATGAGATGAAGTGTGTCATTCAATGAAATGAAGTGTAATAGTTGTGATTTCTATTTAGTGCATCGAGTTCATGACCATTTTACGATTAAACTAAATTTAAAACATTTTAAATCTCATATAAACTAATGTGAGAGTGATTATGGTTCATATAAACATCATTCGAGTCCAAAATTCAGCGTTTTTATGTGTTCATTATAAGTGGTACTGATGAGCTAATATCCGGTACTATAACAATACAAAACTGGTACTAATTTGGAGTACTAATGCAAAGATATATTTTTTTTTAAAGAAACACAACATACTTAACTGAGTACTAACTAATGGAAAATTAGTACTTGTACACCAAAAATGCGGTACTAATATTAAGAAAACTTGTATAATTAGGAATCAAATAAAAAAATCCAAAACATCATCCATTAAACTACTTTGTCCACAAACTATCATTCATAAATTACAATCACCCATCTAACAATCAAACTATCATTCTACTTGTCCACAAACATCACACCATCATCCACTTTGTCCAGAATCAGCCATCAGACCATCAAAGTTAAACCATCAGACTACAAACCAAATCATCCAATTTAAACAAATAGCAAACACCAGCCAAACAACCTGTCAACAATGAGGTATATTAACAAAAATCTAGAATGGATTTTATGACATTATTTCACTTGTCATATACAGGCTAGTGAACCTCATTGTACTTCTGTTCGACTTCCAAGACCTTTTTACTAGCCTCTTCATTAATATGAAATTAGAGAAAACAGAATCAACTTACTATTCCAGCAAAAGATGTTGGTGTTAATTATCTCATTACATAATTAAATGATGGAAGGTTTAAAATTTAATATTCTAAGGTANATAATTCATCATTACATTTATCCAAGTGGCAAGCTATCAAGGGAAGCAACTAAGGACCGCCTTTGACCTTTCAAAGTGTAATGATTATTGTACAGATAAATATTGTACGTAGATATAAAAGAAAAGGGGAGAATTCCCCAAGGACGGACAAGAATAATACTTTACAGAAAAATTACATTTCCAGTTATAATATACAAGCTTTCAGCATTGAACACCTAGCTTTTACTTCAAATACACTCCAATTTGGTTGTTGTTAATTTCTATTTGACAACAGGCATGCTTAAATACAATGAAATTAACCTTAATGCCCCAAATGTTTGAAAATACTTGTCATGTCAAATTAGAGGAAAGTACAAAATAAAAGGAAAAGCATGTTTTATTCTCTTATCTTGAGAAATCCCCCACAGTTTCTAAATTATACAATGGCTCACCAACTCTACTCAATGCCAATCATATAATATAGTAAACTAACTTATATTTCTTTTTTTCTTGTTTTCTTTGGGAACAACAATCACACACTATTCAAACAAACCAGTATGGGCACCTTTAATAGAAACACAGAAAATCATATATGTAATTTGGGCCCTCTTTTACAATTTTTACTACACTTTTTGAAAAAAAATTACAGAATAAAGACATACAGAATAAAACCATACATAAACCATTGATAAACTAGTTTTTTTTTTTTAAAAAAAAAAAAAAAGTGCAATTTAAAAACCAGTAACAAAAATAGACCACAAATCAACCATTCATAAACTGTAATTGTTGTATATTTGTAATTTTTTTTAAAAAAAAATTGTAAATATACAATTAATATGAGATTTGAAGGTAAACAATGACGTTAATGAGGACATATAAGAAGTATTTCTACTATAGAGAAAGAAACAAGTTCTGTCGATGTATTAGTGATGTTCTTGCTCATGTTGAATAATCTAATTAAACAAAATCAACACCAAGCAAATTCCTAAAATTTCCAAATGAGGCCAAAATACACAGATTATGTCATTTACTACAATTAAAATAAATATAGGAAAAAAAAAAGAAACAAAAAAAACAAATTCTGACTCAGTGAAAAGTGAAAATCATCAATCTTTTCACTTACCCCTTAATAGGTGTATCCGAAGCAGATGAGGCTGTGGCTACCGATGGCGAGTCCCTACTGCTGGTATCTACAAGTGAATTAGGGTTAAGGATTTTGGAGACACTCACAATCGGTGGATCAAAATTTGGGAACAAAATCGGGTAATGAGCGGAAATATGACTCAAAATTTGGTGCGTTCTCTTTTTTTTTTTGGTTTTCTCTTCTTTTCTTGGCGAACGACGAACGATTTTGAGGAAAGAATAATGAGACGGCGAAGAGAGAGACGACGAAGAGAGAACTGTGAAGAGAGAGACTAATTTTTTAGTATCAATTAAAATAAATCAATAATAATAGTATTAGTATTTATATGGGGAGTTGAAAAGAAAGAGAAATATGTATTAGGGAGTGTAAAGTAAAAAAATTAAAGTGGGGACTGAGGAGGAAGTTGAATTATGGAATATGGATTTTAGAGGAATTATTCGTTTTAAAATAGTATTTTTAATTAAAAATAAATAAATTCTTTAACATATAAACTAATTAGTGAAGTTAATGATCTAATCTACTAAAATGAAACATCAATTTCTGTAAATATCAAGTGTGCTGTCCAAACAAGGTAATTAAAAACTAATACAAAGATCTTTATCATTGATTTGACCAGAAAATTATATGGCTAAAGTACCTTATTTTGTGCTCCATTTTCTACTTGGTTTTGGACCATTTGTCCTATTTGTGATTTTTAAGAATCTTCCGAACAGTCGGTTGGTAGGGACGCGTTACAGTCGTACACACATTGTTCAGTCACTCCTCCGTTTTATAAAAACAAAAGAGTACAATCGAAGTGTGAACATATACCAATGAACCGAAATAAAGTCTGGACCAACCCTCGTTGAAATTACACAGGTGACCAAGGAAGTACAAACTTAGAGATAGCCGGCCCGGCCCGTTGGCGGGCCTCCTATGGGTAACCCTTAACCGGCTCGCCAAAAACCAAGGGCCGGGCCCGTAAACCGGTTGTCCCGGCCCGATCCTAACCCGGCCGGGACCAAAAATAGAAAAACGGACCCAAAAACGACCCGTAAAGCCACGGTGACGATTCTCGGAACCGGCAACCAACGGGTCGGTTGCGGGCCGGCCCGGCATGCCTATACAAACTCCATCTAGGAAGCACAACACACCCACACAATATAACTTCATAAAAGAGACACAAACTCTATATAAGATAAAAGAAGTCAGACACAGCTACACTAACAAAATGAAAACAAGATATAAACATAACAGACTTTAAACCCTAAAGTGCAAAACACACAGCCACCCAAACCAACACCTGATCCATCTTAAAGGGCTTTGATATAAGGGCTTTCCGGTTTGTTATAACCGAACATCTTAAAATTGGATACCGATTCCCAATCGAGTTGTATTCCATAATCGAGATTGGTTCCTCGATTGTTTTACAAAACTTCCTGAAGAGTGGTCCGTTTACATCGCAGAAATCAGAATACGGGCTTTCTCATTGTTCCCACTGATAGGAAGGGTCATATACGGGCTTCATAGCAACCAGTACTCTACAGCTGAATTAACTCTAAAAAATTTATGAACTCTAGTATCAATGCATTCTTACACATTATCTTAAAGAAAAAAAAATAAAAATCCAAATAAATATAAACTTAGCAACAATTGATAAGTAAGCACGAACCTCAAATTATTGGAATTTCTACAAAAGGAAGTCACGTAATATACAGTTCTTTTCATCAGTGTATGTTATTGTGATATGCTTTGCAAAAGTTTTTTCCACATTTTTTTCACAATGTCAGCCTATAAATATGCACTTACAGCAGCGCACACATAAATGCTGATCAATTAGGCGAGCAAGCTAGGACCGTTTTCCACTGCTGTCCGGGAATTTTCGTGGCCATGCTGTCTGGTCATTTGGACGTCTCGGTTGAAATGTGTTCTGGCTTTTGCGTAAGGAGCATCTCTCGCTAGACGCAGAAAGGTATAAGTGAAATTAGAAATTTAAAAAAAAAAAATATATATATATATATTGTCCAAAATGTACAAGTGATATCTTCATCTACACCTCATTTCTTGATTTTGTCGATTTTGAGAGATCAATAAACTTATAGATTATTACCTGCAATTCTCTGAGTTCGAAGAATATTTTGCCGCCTTTTCCACCAACAAGTAAAGCAAGTGATAATGAGTAAAAATGCCACACAAGATCCGAGCCCAATGCCAACTATAGCACCGGGAGAAAGATGGGTCCCGCATGGCGGTAATCCAGGGATGCCACATAGACCTGAGTTGTCTGTAAAACTGCAATCACCCACAATAAGTTTTTCAAAGCTATGACTACTCATTTGGCTGGGATTAGATTAAAACTTTGTTTGGTAAACATATAAGCTAACTTATAGCTTATTTGTTTAGCTTGAAAGTTTCTTGTATTCAAATAAACTTGGTTGATTTGGTATGACGAGTTTTTATAAATAGCTCGAACTTATCTCATAAGTTTCACAAATTTTTTAATATGCACATCTGAAAATATATATATATTCTTGGATAACATACTTGAAGCTAGCTCCATGTAAGAGTCTTCCCCCGAGTGCTGATGGAACTCTTCCTGACAATGAATTGCCATTGAGGTCCCTGTTTGGGATGTGCCCGGATTAGTTCATATATTTAAGAGCTTCAATCAAGGAAAAAACATTAAGTGGAAATTTTTTTACAATATCCTCAACAAGGTTAGCTGTCCGATGCTTTCGGGAATGGATCCGTTGAGAAAGTTGTACGACAAATCCCTGTTGAAGAAGAAGAAGAGGAAAAAATTGTTCGCCGTTTATTAAAACAGATGAAAAATCCAAACTGAGCTATAGTAAATTGCAAATTTAGTCTTGTATGTTTTACAACTCCAACTTTTTCGTCCCTTTCAGATTGATTTTTATTTTTCGTCCCTGATGTTTGCAAAAAGGTCCCCGAGCCGAGCATACATTAGGGGCAAAATTGCAACCTTTTTGCAAAATATAAGGGACCTTTTTGTTGCGAAAAGAACCTTTTTGTAACCTTTCCGTTTTGCAGGGGACGGCAATAAAAAAGGCAATTTGAATAGGACAAAAAAGTTAAGGCAGTGAAACATACACAACTAAAATTACAATTTCCTCAGCTATATATGAAAAAATTTAAAGCGACTGCATTCATTATTGTCAACATTATATACTACAAAGCACTCAGGCTGAAAAACATAAAAATTCGTGACAACACGCAATCAAGAGTGAACTACAAATATATTGAAATGCTAAAAGCAGAGAGATTATTGTGTTAACTTTTACTTACAGTATCTCCAGGCGAGATAAATTTCCGAGCGAAGGTGGAATGACCCCAGAAATGCTGTTCCCACTCAAATTTCTGCGAAAACCAACATTTAATAAATATTTTTCCTTAGTTATCTCATTCATGAGAACAAGAGTGGTGGCAAACATCACTTTTTTTTAAGGAAAAAAAAAAAGAACGTGATTCTTCATAGATTTTGAGCATAAAAGAAAATCTTAACAGGCTATTACTTACATGCTTTGAAGATGACTGAGTCGAAATATGTCATTTGGTAAGAAACCACTCAAACCTTGGTTGTCAAGGCCTCTGCCCTCACAAACATAAATGAAAAAAAAAAAAAAAGATATAAAGTAACTGAATTGTCGCAATGAAAAATGTATAGAGAAGAAGACACATTTGCATAATACAGAATAAGTATGGACAAAGCTCATCGTGCTATTTGATGCATATTACTGATTCTGTTTCAAAAAAGCATAAACGTCAATGAGTAAACGAACATAAAACCTTGCTTGGAATGCAAAATACGACCAAACTAAGACTACCAAAATGAGAACATTTTATTTATCAGAGGTCAATGACTCGAACCACTCAACTTACAAAAGAAATCGTAAATAAATATTTTTTGATGTTTTCAGAATCGTTCTTAAGCGCCACAAAAGCTGAAAGACAAATATAGCAGATGTGAACGGTGCTATCAAGCTAGAAACATCAAGATGACTTGAGTTACATTACATACTAATGGTGAAAATGCAACTCAGTATTAACTTCAGATTTTCCAAAATAGGGTAAAAAGCATATTAACCATGGCCACAATGAACTTTGAAGGTAAATATTATATTATGATTGCTTATATAAGACGTAGAGATTGAAAATGGTAGAGTCCAACCAAATACTCTGCTCCCCGTATCTGAAAAAAAGTTGGCAGTAAAATTTACGCAACAAAATGAAAACCATGCAAGAGATCACGAACATACAATCCATCAATAACGTGCTTTGAGATGTTCCTGTCGTATTGACAATTCACTCCACTCCACGGATGCTGCTCGGGAACACAAGGGTCCCCATTCCACCCAAGTCGAAGAGGAAGCCCGAGCGCATCCTTTATCCTATGCAAAGCTCTAACTACAACAAACCAAACAAAAGAATACTCATTAAAAAAAATACAGATAAATCACAAACAAAAACAAGTCCACCGCCTTACTTTCTTCCGGAGATGTCTTCGACTCGGCCAAAACGAGCTCCAAAAGCTCGATAGCACTAATTATTGCACGACCCCCTTTTGTCGGCTGCAAAGTCACCGTCAATCTCCTCCCTCCAACAGCCACAGTTGTGTTCAAAACGAGCGCGGTATTCACGCCCCCACTCATTCCAACCACATCCACGTCTCGAAAAAATACATCCCCATTAATCAGCACGTTGAACACCCTCTGCCCTGGCCCCGTCACGGACGGGTCGATCTCCGCGAAATGCAGCCACAGGGAATAATTCCTCGTAGGCTCCACATCCATTGTGTACTCCAAATCGGGCCTCACGTCCCCACTCAAGATCGCCGTCTTATAAAGAGCCTCCGGGTAGAAATTCGGAGCTCGCGAGGCCCCGTTAATCCCACTCTCGGTCGTCAACGGCTGATCAGAGCGCGGGTCAAACAAGTCAACTCCATCCCAAAAACGGTCTCCACCCCACGAGTCCCCACCGTAGTCCGCACCGAACTTCGGCTTGTTCGAACCGCAGCTTATCCTCGTGACAGTACGGAGGATCGTGCCCTGGCCATATCCTGGGCCGAAATAATAGGCTCGGTTATCGATTTGGAGGATCTCGATAGCGAGCACAGACGGGCTCCCGTGGCCCGTGCTGTGGAAGCAGATAGAAGCAGTTCCATCTTTTAAAAATACAAGGGCCTCGACAAAAGCCCCCTCGTTGTCTCGGTTACTCCAGTTCGGAGGGACAGTGTAAATGAGTGTGCCCTCGAGCGAGACGTCGAAAAGGGGCTCGTTGCCGAAGCTCGGGTCTTCTAACATGCCGAGGAAGACGCGTACGAGGTAGTGGCCGTGCGGGACCCGGTTAATGTTGTAGCAATTTTCGGGGCCATCGGACGTGGGGAAGTAGCGGAGGGTCGGGAGGTCGGGGGAGATGAAGCTCGTTCGGGAGGCGTTTGCAGGGATGCCGCCCGTGTAGGCGAAATCTTTGTACCAGAGGGTGTTGGTTGGGGTTGTTCGGATGTCTGCTCGGGCCCCACAGCTTATGCGGAGGGCGTAAGGTGCTGTGGGAAATGCAGGAAGAGATTTTTTTTCACATAAAAAAAAAAAAAAATCATCTCAATCTACATCTACTACATTACAGCCTTTTGAGAATGGATTAAAGTACTTTCATGGAATTTATCCTTTGGAGTAGAAAGACAATCTAAGCTAATATTAGGGTTTGAATACTTGTTGTTGTGGTTTGCCTTTCTTGAACACAAAAATGTATACAACTTTATCAACACGTTGAAATCTGAAAGAAGTCCTATAAATGGTAAATCTGGCACAAACCCAATTAAACTGTTCGTGGAATAAAAGTATAAAACTACCGGTTTTGCTGTGGAGCCAACTGTTGGCTTCATATCAAAATCGATAAAACTACACTTCACAGCACCAAATGAATGAAAACCCCACAAGGAAAAAGGCAATACGAATCACAAAAAAATGAAAATTTGTAAAGTCCAATTAACTGATTCAAAGGTATCCCAGCAAACAATCAGCTACAGCAGTAATGAAGAGAAAAAAGGTTAAATCGAAGCTTACATCGAGAAAGAGAAGGCCTGGGAGCGAAGACTAAAGCTGCGTAAAGTAAGAGCAGGCGAATTTCCGGCATTTTTTGCGGCAACGAGTTTCAGATTTGGGCAAAATCGAAGCTCTTTATACCTTTCCTAAACCTCGGATTCAACATTCTTGTCTTGGATCGTTCTTTCTATATCTCGATTAAGGATGAGAGTGTCTTGAATTACTCTCGAGTAACAAAAAATAATGA